TTGCGCGCTGAAAAATTCACGTAGAGCCCGAAATGCATTTTTTCTTGATCGATCATTTTCATAATAGGCTTGCACAATTTTAACACGTTGTTCATTCGTATATTGCTCCATGTTTTGAGGTTAGAAATCTCATATGATAATAAACAAATACAGTGGCGTTTCAAAAATATTTCAGATTGTAATGTGGAAACTCTTAATGAATCACCCGTTATAAGTTACATAATTTAAAAACGCAGCCAAATCGCTATCGCTATCGCTAACACCAAGAATGAGAGCGGCGTTGAGTTTAAAGTTTTTATGGAGATGGAAGCAGTTAACCCTTGGTTTATGTATGTTGATTGCTTGTATTGAAGCATTTGTTATGAAGCCAGTTTATTAAAATTGCCAATATTATTCCCTGCCAAATATCAAGTCCACAATTCCCATTTTTTCTTCTCTTATGCATTTTATCGTGACTGTGTGTATTAATGATTTTCTGCCTATGAGTATTAAGGTTAGCATTGGAACTTGTTTCTAACAAAAATATATTATCAATGGTGAACCATTTTGTGAAGATGAAAAATTGAGTAACTTTATTTCTCATAAATAAAGTTTGTTGGTTATGGATATTTGCTTTGAATCTCTTGCGAGAGAAATAACACAAAACGTATATGAAGCAACTATAATTTGATGCCCTTCCCCTATATACAGAGTGATACGGAAATAAAAGCAATTAAAAAAAATGGCCGGCTAACTAACCCCTCGTAGCTTACTAAATTATCGGATATAAAATTTGTCTTTCTGTCTGTTCTTTATTCTATTATATTTTTTTGAGTGATACGTGAGAGATTTCCGATAATTATTTTAAAAATAAACGGTCGCTATTTTATAGGAAAGAAAGAAGGAAAAGGAAAGAAGAAGTAAGTTTTGACAATAATGAAATACGCAAATTATGATTCTAACGCAAATAAATTTTTGTAAGTTATATTTTATATTGCAGGTGGTGGTTTGCCCAAACAGCTCTAAATATTATGCTATTATGTTATGATATAGTTAACATTCACCTTGGAAAAGGGCGATAGCTCCTGCCTGGCCTGGTATTGTAGTCGTGCAGATAAGCATTCTTGACATATTCATGTAAATTTTTATGGATGTGTAAAATGTTCTCAGGAAGCGAGTAGAAGGGAGTATCATTATGTCTAGGTTAACAAAGGACAGTCGATAGACTCCTGCATTACTCAGCACTCCGAATCGCCTTCTTTTCAAATCGAAAAGCTTTCTCAGAATACCCCTGAATACCCCAAAGCACAATGTCTTAGGACATCAGAATTTGGCGTAGACCACGAATCTGTTGAATAATATTCTGTAAAGCTCGTAAATACGTATCCAGTAGAGTTTACGACCAGTAACACAACTCATGAGGGTTACATTGTACCAATCTAACTTTAATTCACTTCACTTAATTTTCGCAGTATGATAAAGTAAGTATACCTTAAAAGTTTTTCGTAATATAGGAATAAAGATTTGAATACACTAGTATTTTCGATTAGGTATGTGTTTTTATAATTTTTTTTTATATATTATATGCCTGCGTGTGACCAATTAGATTTTAATGTAGAGTACTGAGCAGAAAAACAACAGAATTTTTCTACTCCGGTATTACAGAAATTAAAGAAATGTACTGAAATATTATCAATGATTTTAATTTCACTTTTGTGTGTGATGTGATCGGATCTCATGGAACGCCCATGTAGAAAATCGAAGACATAAATTTTCATACAGCAGCTTTTAGCAAACGAAATAGAAACTTAATTGAGACTTTATCAAAAAATAGCACGTATCTAACTTTTAGCGTACGAATGCCGCAATTATGCAGCGAATCGAGGCAGACAATACGAGCGAAAGTACCACCCAGCGAACCGCCAGTACTCGATATGAAAGTCATTTTCAATTTCACTGTCTTTTTCTAGGTTGAATTAATGAACTTGAGCCTCGTCGGTAAAATAATATGGAACTGCAAACCGCAAATTAGTCATTTCCTTAATGGTTGTGCCCCGGTTGCAAAAACAAAATTTAATTACCCCAATAAGAGAAATGAACTGCTGCAAATTGCTACCTTTGCCGAAAGAAATACAAAACGTTATGAATTTCCCCAATTTTGTTGTACTATGTTTATTTCTCAGTCAATTACTCCAAATTTCCTAGATTTGTTCAACTTTAACATTCATACATATTCAGGTCTTTGCATTAAGAGCTCATTGCTCAGACTCAGAAGCGCGTTAAAAAAATAATTAAAACACTAAAAAAATATCATGTGTGTTTTATAACATTTTTTAATAAATTTCAAATTATTTTGGCAACTGGCTTGGGAGCAATCGGATGTTTTCAGTAAACTTTAGCCACTGATATTTGTCAGTTATGATGGTCTTGGTCAGACACTTGTTTACTAAACACTCGCTCCGTTCGTGCCAAAACCCACTAGTTACTAAAGTGGAGTTTACCATATTTTAGAATGTTTTAATTAAAATGACTTCTAAAAAATAATACAAAATTATTGGTGCGACAGTATAATGTAGTAAATATGCTAGAAAATTTTTATAAAACAAACTTTTACGACGAAAAATATAATACGCCTAGAAGAATCAGAAAAACGATATGTTGTCTAATAGAAAAAATATTAACGCAAATGTAATAGGTAATAATAATAATAATAATAAATCAAAATCGTTAAACTTATTTTTCTCAAAACTAGAAGTAACGAAATAATAAGTCTTCGTTGCATTACCAATACTTTAATATAAGAGAATCACCCTTAAAGGAATAAAATATTTCTTAAGAACACACTGTTTTTCAATTTATAATAATTTATTATAATTTATACAACGTCAATAATTTTTTTATTTCGGTGTGTAATTAGTTAGCAACTCCTATTAACAGTTTGATGTGTACCTAAATTTTGATGTCAATATATATGTATCTGCGCAGAGCTGTTTGTATATTTAACTTTTACAGAGCGTCACTCCAAATAAAACTGCATGTCGAAAATATAGACCGTTTGTAGTAGTTTGAATGATGAAGAATGGAAATGAGAATATAAAAAATCCACAAGAAAAACTGATTCCACAAAAACTACAAAGTTTGACATACCTCTATCCAAAAGATACAGAGGTTAGCAGCTCGATTTGATTTTAGTTCTTAAAAAAAATCATTAAAATCACCACAATATTTTGCGTTCGTTAAATAGGGTAACACATCCTGCATGGCATAACCTTCTAGGCTCGTTTAATCAGCGACTTATTAATTATTATAAGTCGGCCATGTCATGTAACACAAAAAAAATCCAAAATTTGCTAAACAAAATTTTAAAACTCTAATTAAAGTAACTAAAATTGAAAAAGCTTTAGAACATTGTTATATAGGGATTAGCATAATACATTATAAGATAAGAAACATTTTAATTTCAATTAATGAGACATATAAAAGCTCTCTATAAATAATAAAATACCGCAACGGTATTGTATTGATATTTTGGCCCTGACAGTGAAAACGATGTCGCCGTTGCTCCTGACCGCAGAGAGAAAGTCGATATACGTTTAAGGTCAAACGAACATCAGCGCAAATTTTTAAAACCGCAAAATATTGAAATCGCTCCTAATAACATAATTTTTCAACAAACGCCAAATAATCCCCTGTTTACTATTTCCAAGCCTCATTTTACACGCTCAAATTCAGTAAAAATGATAACCAAATAAAAATGTCAATCGCGAAGAAAGCTAATTTGGAAACACGAACAACGCAATTATTTTAACGTTAGTATTACATGATTTGCAATGTCCGAGAAGCAAGAATTTTGTAAAGTTTCGATAAAAAAATCGGTACAAATTTAAAAACTTACCCCACGGAGTGATAACGAATTTCTAATACCAGAACTTCAAGCGAAACCAAAACCAGAACTTCGAACGAAATTGTTAATCAAAAATTGGCGGCTCGTAAATGAGTTCCGTGCAATAACATTTTGAGTAGCGTTAGGCTTTCGAAAATTACATTTTAATGCTTTGCCATGAGGGGGATAGGGCCTCCTCCGTCGCGTCGCAGGGAAAGTGGAATTTTAATAATAATTTAATGGTTTTCGTAATATGGATAAAATGTTTGAAGAGAGTTTTTTTAAAACGAAAAACTCCATTCCTGGTAGCTTTGAAATTCCTATTTCTTTTCAGTGCTAGGTATGATGACAAAAAGTGAATGAATCATAAAGTAGAAAGAATTCTCTCGGTATAAAACGTAAATTTAGCAAGACACTAACAAAGAAATATAAGGATGCACAGTATGTTGTGTGTGAAAATTTAAGGCACTAATTAATAATCTAACTATATATGCCTCTAACGAAATAAAACTATAAATTCCAAATTCAAGCATAAAAGTTTACATAAATATGTGTGGCCCAAGATAGTCCAGCTTTTGCAGAGTCAAAGTTAAAGAAAAAATATATTTTTTATATATTTCTCAAAGATCCTTTCACCCATTTTTCACCCAAATTTGCCACGATTGTTTAATAAGTTAAGTTTAATTTAAACTTGAATTATGAGAATGAGATGAGAATTGCGACTTTCTTTAGGTTTTGTTTTTTTTTTCGTATTAAGAAACTTATCTACAACACAGATAAAATTTACATATTATTTTATTAATGTGAACTGTAACTAGGGTGTACTTCGATAAAATATTCTATAGCTATTTAAAAATGCTTTTCCGTTCCGTTTTTACTGTGATTTTTCTTCGCCGTATGACTATGCATTTTCCAACCTTAATTTACATTTTTTAAATAAATATACATTATTGAAAAAAATATCAGAAAGGACGCACACTAAAAACGAGGTTATTAATAAATTTATTAATCAAGGGTGTGATCAGAACCCGCCTCAATATAATTACAAAATTAAAACGCTTCCGGTCCTTTTATCTAAGGGTTTGTTGTTGATGGTTATAGCGCATGCAAGTTTTCAAGATAGCATAACTTGGCTTACCTTCGCATTAATTTCAAATCGATATATCTAGTCACTGCGGAACGCAAAAAGCAACATAGCTTCGAAAGGTCAAAGGTCGGGCAGCTCTCTACTACAGTTTTTGCTATAACGAATAGCGAACAGACGAAAAACGACAGTTTTGTACAATTTAAAATCAAAATAGGCCTTGGATCGGGTATTGTATTCGTTTTAATTATGTCTAACCTAACTAAACAAAGAGTCCATTCTACCCTGCGTCCTTCCCTGCGCAACCACTCCCCTTCACTGCCGCACGCCTCGTCCTGAAACATCGAATCCTATCCAGAATGGGGAATAGGAGAATTTCGAATATTCTGGGTTTGATGCAGAGAACGACTTGGAGTACACGGCATCCACATTGAAATTTTGCGGTTTTTGCTAAACCAAAGTTAACTTAAAAGATTTTTAAAAATTCCGCTGATTTAAATTTAAAGCACAAATACTGGTTCAGAAGTTGGAGTTAATTTTGGTCTAAACCGAATGGCAGATAATGAGAATAAGAAGTTGTATAATTTTGACTTGTTTTAACTTTTACATTTCTTTGCCGATATTGGATGTTCAGCCAGTGGTGCACCGAGTCATATTTTCTCTACGCGTCAGTGATGTTGAAAATTTTTCTTAATGAATGGAAAGCAACAAAAAAATTTCCGCTTTTTGTAGAAGAATTTGGAAAAGATGGGAAGTTTAAAGTTTAAAGTCCTTTAATAATAACAAATGTCGTCTAAACTATATCGAATAATAACTGATAAAGAAGGTGACAAAATCCAGAGGCGTGCAAACGAGAGTTTATGAAATTAGGCAGTTATTCAGTTCTAAAGGACAATCAAATAAGCCTTGTTAATAAATTAATATGTTTTAAAGAAAAAGATTCCTCATATTTTGTAAATTCTTCGTCAATAAAATAATCTTTTCCGTTGCCTAACTTTAACATCGTGTATTATCCACGAAGCTTTTTGAGATGCTGTGGTAGATCCAGTACATTACTAATGGAGAAAAGATAATCCATCCAATCTACCGGGTTGACCAAGCATGAAGTAAATAAATAGTAAGTCGGGATAATAAAAGTGGAATTTTTATAATAATAATAATAATGATAGCTAAATTCGGCACTTAATTAAGTGGAACGCTTTATATATATTTCATACTGAAAGCGCTCCGGTTTTCGAAACTTATATAAATATTATGGTAGCAGTCAACAAATTTGTGGTAAACTAGCCATACACAAACATATTAAAATCAAAAAGTTTGGATCGCAAGCTTTTTAAAGATCAACTAGTTTTTAGTTATAAATTATATAGTTTTTATTACCCCTTCACATTTGTGGTACACGCATATCTAGCGTTTTGGGAACGTTTTCACAATATTACAGAAAGAAAAATGTTTGACCAAAAAGCACTGTCATTGGATATAGATATGCCGCTTAAATAAATAATTCAACTAGGGATTACATTTTTTCTACATATATATGTTTTGAATTATAGAAAATTAGGTATTCCTAATCGAACTGTAGAAGAATAATAACGTAACTGAGGATTAATCCTAAAAGCGGGAACAACATGCTTGAGTTTATTGTGAAGAAGTGCATAACGTTAAACGAAATATCATTGGCAATAGTCCCCTTAGAGAGCCATAAAAGCTCTGCTTTGACCAACTGTTCGTCAACCGATCTTGGATGCAGGGGACAGTTCATGTACAGCGCGTAGCTATTAGTACACAGCTTTCGGCCTTGTTCAATGACTTTGTCACATTTACACGCCAATAGCAGGACATATACCTTAAAAAAATATTTTTAGCCTTTTTTTTTCCTTAAGATTTAAGTTACTTAAAGCACTTAAATTTGTTATGTCTATGACTATGTAATTTCTGTAAATTTTCGGATTTTTTTTACGCGTCACTTAAAATTTTTCCTATAATTTTTGGGTTTGTGGTTATAACTTACTATCGGAAACCACATATGTATGTGGTCTAACATCGTTAACCTAAGATTTGGATCGAACCATCTTCTATTGACGTCATTGAACGCTTTAATGGAGTGCAGTATCGACAAAGCTACAAACATTAATATTCTGCAGCTGTAGATTTCATTCACCGCATGTATGAGACGGCAGCATTCCCGGTGTCTCTCCCCCAGATATCGCAGTTCTTCGCAAATGCCGCGGCGGTCTCTAGCGATAACTTTGCTTTTCGCGATTCTCTCATTGATATACTCAAAAATTTTTTGAATTAGCCATAAATCGAAATAATATTGCCCCAGGGTGATGGATATTCGAAGCACTTTGATGTTTTCTAATATAGTAATCGCAATGTTGTAAGCAGTGTCAAATTTTAGCTTGTTATAAAACGGAAGAATCCTTATTAAGCACAACACGACAGCGAGTTCGAATAAAATGGCAAAACGCAGTAATTTTCTACCATTAAAATTGATCGGTTCCTCGCAGAAGTTCTGCAAACCATCGGTTAGATCTCGTACCACCTGCGAAAAATTCCGGGTATTTGTACGCTTCCAAAATATCGCCTCCATGATAATAAAAACACTGACGATTGCTAGTAATATATTATACACAACGGACACCACCATGGTGATTTTCCCTTTATCTTTATCTTGGATGGTGGTTACGTATGCTATTACCGATCCACTAATTGTTAACACCACGCACCAGAGTAAAATGAAACAGACATAGATTCTGGAAATTGCGTTGCTCTTTGGAACGGCACATCCGCATATGAGAGTCAATGTATGCAATATTTTTACAGGAATTAAATCTTCCCACACTTGATTCATTGGAAATTCTACACGCATATATAGTACCTATCTAAGCTACGAAGTGTATTGCTTCTCTCAATAATCTTATCGTTTAATACGACAATTTTATTGCAGTTAGTCTAAGTGCTTTTCTTTCTCATTTATTTTGAAGTTATTGTCCTAATGGCTTTTATAAATAGATTTCGGTACTTAACGTGTCATTAACATATTAGATAGTTGTCAGTCATGTCAGTTGAATATTTTTATTGTATATTCTTAATAAATCATGGATGATGACACTTTTTACGACTCGTTGGATGAAGAAGCGGATTTTTTAGAAGTCACAGCTGAAGCTTGCGAGTCAAACCTGGTGCCGTTTTTCGCTGGTGCCGTAGAAAAAAACGAAGTAAATTCTCTTAAAGCGCTTTCCAAGAATGGTAGTTGTACGGAAATTAAAAAACACAGCAATGCCCAAAAACCCATTTTGCCACCGGTTAGAAGGAAAAACAATTCATATTTAAACATTTTTTACTCCAGAAATCGAGGCAAAGAATTTTCTGCAAGAGAAGAGAGATCACCAACTAACAGTTTATGCGTTAACGATTTTGAGAAGTCTTGTTACTTCGATGGCGAACAGCATGGCGAAAGATTAAGAAAACTGGACCAAGAATCTGTTGGATCGAGTCACAAGGATGAAGAACCTAGTACACTTACACAAATCAGCGGAAATGTTCGCAATAAATTAAATTTTGTGTCAAAACCTGTTAAAATTTGCGAAATGGGAGGTTTGGGACCTAACATACATAACGTACAAGATAAGGTAATTCAAGCTTCACCATCAACATTCCGATGTTGTCAATACGCTCGCTATCTTTTAACATTATTTATCGTATACCTTTCACTACAGTTGGAGCTGTTACGCAAGAGACAGAACTATGGAAAAAGCGTGAGCGAAAAGAATCGCATACGAATATTCGAGAGCAAAGTAGTGCAACAACTTCGACGAGAAATCGAAGAAAGTCATAAGCCATTGTGCAAAAAATAAAATGATATATTGGTATTTTTATCTTTTTCTTCAATTTTATGGTTCGATTTTTTGACAATCAAAAAAATTCTCACAGTTATTATACTCTGAAGGAAGAAATATTCAGCCAACAGAACAATGCTTCTTTTATTTTTCTTTTTCTGATTATCCTCTCGACAAGATAAATAATAATATAAATTGAAGACGCGAAATTCTGGTCCGCGTAAAACCGCGGGTTAATGGTGCGCTGCAAATCATTTATGTGTACGTTATTCTCCAATCACGCTCGTGGAAAAAGTGTTGAATAACCATGGAAAGAAATAGGTGTTCTACGGTCTGCACAGCAAAAGTCGATTGTCGTTGGTGGTTCTGACAGATGACAGGTGGGGATTTAGGTTAAGCTATTTAATTTAGGCTTCATTAATTTTTTATCTTTTTCGGAAGTATATTTTTATTTGTAGCTTTCCGTAATATCATATAATTATTGGAGATATATAATTGAATATTATATTTAGGACTGTCGCATTAACAGGTATAAGTGACCATAATCAAGCTGACGTTTACAATTTTTCACTTATTTTCACAATTTTTAAGCAGATGGTTGTACTAATTAACTGTATTTGAAATCTAATTCAGAAATGACTGATTACGATAAGAAATTCGAGCAAGATTTGGAAAGGGCCCAAGCATTAAGTTTAGAATCTTTAGCTTTGGAGCAATTCAAAAATAAAAGACTGCAAGAACTAAATAAGCACGTAAATCACGAACAAAGTAAGAAGGTCCCATCAGGTATGAAAAATATCGGTTAACTTTACTTAAAAACATTAACTTTAACAGCTCAGCTCAGAATCTTCTAAAGTGTTATGAGTAAGTTGCCCCTATACAATTTTAAAATTTTAGTTACACGAGCTGCGTCTATGAATGAATCTGATTCCACATATGCGAAAAACGATTGGCAAGTTAGTAAATCACGCCCTAGACCTGGTTCGACTCTGAGTAACACATCTAACGCTCTCATAGCCCCTCCACCATCTTCGCTTCGTAAAAATAGCTCAATGAGTGATACAGAAGACTTAATTTCCTTTGCTAGTCCACCTCCAACAAATAATTCTAGTACGACAGATGTTTGTAGTCAAGAGAGGTTAGTTTCTTCATAATATTTTTAATAATGTATAAAATAAAATTATCTCAAGCAATATCAGTGATATAATTGCATCAAAATAGAACCATAAGTGATAAGAGTGATTTATCCTATTTTGTTTGTTATAACCCTGAGATAAAAATGTATACCTCATGATGTTTATTCCAGTTTTGCAAGTAATACTCAAGTGAGAGTAATTGCGAATCCATCCTCAGTTTATCCACAACTTAATATGCAGCAGTATTGGCCACAGATTCCACAAATTGTACCCCAAATGCGTTCAGGGTATCAGCACACTCCAACAATGTACCAAACTCAAGTTAATATGCCAGGGGTGATAAATTTTCCAGAAAAACGTCAATCACAGATGATCAATGTCTCACAAATTGGGTTTAGACCTAGCTTGTACCAATCTGGTCTTGCTCATATACCTGGAAACCATATTTTCCCATCAGAGGTATGATTATTATTGTTTTTTGGGATTGAGTTTTCATAAAGATATATAAATTTATAATATTTGGCCGATGAAATAAAGCAAATGCTACTCCCAGATTAATTGTAATTGTCCAGTCTTTGCGCTTACCTTTGCTATTATGTTACGCTTAAAGTGTTACCATATTGGGAGTCTAAATGTATGAAAAATATAAATATGGTTGCATTGGGGTGTAAATATTGTTATTTTTGGAAAAAAAAAGTACTGTGATTTATTATTCTAATTATTGAAGTAGTTGACCATGACTGTGACTCAAATCTATTCATTTTACCATTTAAAAGATTTTTGTAACTAACATTCTGAGCAAAAAAACATTTGGTATTCTGAATCTCAATTCTGATTCTGTGTTTTAATGGGATGGTATCTGCGATGTTCAAGTTTGCGTTCTTTCTTCTATTTTAGCCACCACCTCCCGCTTTGCCACCAAAAAATCAGCAAAGACTGCCTCCGCCCGCTACCTCCTTACCTCCGAAATTGTCCGCGACATATTCTAAAGTGTCTATTAGTTCAGACACGTCGAAGAATTTTCTAAAGACCGATTCTAAATCACATAATTTAATTGACTTAGCACAAGTAGATGATAGGAATAGTGTAAGAGTGAGCATATTGCAGGAATTTGATCCAATTTTGTCTGATTCACAGAGTTATGGTCGAACAATGAGCCCAGTATGCACTGGTAAGTTTTTTGGTGAACTATGTCAGGTTTGAGGGCTGCTTGTTTTGTGTGTTTTGTGTTGTAATATAATTTTTTGATACTACTACTTTGTGATAACTCAAAAACGCAATACAATCTCATTTGTGGCACCTTTTAATTATGGTTTGGAGATTTTCATTCATTTTAAGTAATAATTCATCTACAAAATAGCGGAAAAATTTTTAGTTAAGATTTGTGAAATTGTTAAATAAATTAAAATTTAAAATATGAACTTGTTTGTCTAAATTTGATTTATAAATTGAACCACAAAATCTTAAAAATGGAGTAGTAAATAAATATAAAAATGACACTAATTAGTATATTACCAACATTGTTTTCATTAATATATGAGACACCATCACCATCTAAGTTTTCGATAAACTATGTAATGCCTAATGTTTCACTTTCGCGGAAAAAGGTGTCATACTGAACTGTACGTCACAAATAAATTTGTATTTTTCAGAACATTTTTCTTTTTCGCTGAAATCCGAGAAAGTACTTAAATACATTAAGGATACAATTATATAAATTGATGGTTAAATAATAAACAAAATAAAAAAAAACTTTCTGCTTTCTTTTTATTTTTTAATGTAAGTTATCTGAAGAGGTTCTTTTGTTCCTTTCTATTTAATTATCATAATTACGATGTAAAATACATAAAATATTTAAAGTACTATCAGGTACACTATATATAAATGTATTATAAAATAGGGTACATCCTTGAATTTACAATGGAAAGTATACTATAAGAAAAAGCAAGGCAAAGCAACAAGGATGGTCTCTTCAGAAGGAAACATTTGTTAGCAACTAGGATTGTGTCAATTGACTGAAATAATTTCTAAAATGCCATCAAGTTCATATTTATTTATATTGTGCGTTAATTCGCAGTCCCGTCGTTCCGGGAACCAAATGGGGTCAATATTTCTATTGGGATTCCCCGACTCGTTAAGTATCGTATTCGGATATTCCTTGAAGAGGGTTATAGGTAAATTGGACATCACAAATGCATAATAATTTATAATAAAATACATATTATTAAATAATGATAGATAACACTCTACAATTGCAAGATGTTATTGAAAAAATTTTTTTGACTAGTGAATTAAGTAGTGGTCAATTGACCGGTCAATTTTTCTCTCTTATCAATAGTCGATGTAAGTATAATTGAATAAAAAAAGGCTATTTTTTAATTATGTTCATAGGTGATGACAGTCATTCTATGTGTGGTAGCGTATATGATGAGTATTACGACTTCGATTTTATATACTCAGGATCCGGTAGTAATAGTATTTATAACAGTATTTATGGTAATACCAGTATATCAGAACCGATATACGCTACTGTCAGCAAGGTTGAAAATAGTTCTTCTCCAGTTCCTCCTCTTCCACCTAGGTCCCGTATGTCAACTCTCGACAGGAGATTTTCGAAGAGTTTGCGGGTATGTTTGTTTTTAAATGTAAATATTAGTTATTAAAGTATTTTGTGCTTTTCTAGAAAAATTTGCTCGATGGAATTGTTAAAAACGATAACAAAGCCTTCACATCAGATCCAGATTTAAAAGCATTCCACGATATGGTATATAAAGTTAGGAGTAAGTTTGCTATTCATTATTTTAATGTTTCTCTGATGCATTATTAATTCACATAATAAGCAAGAATAGTAGTTATGTCCTCCCCTTGTGGGACATAAAAATTTTAATTATCATCAGAATAAAGTGAGATTTTCTAAACTTCTAGCTTGAGCTACGAACACTACAAATTTAATTAATTGTATCAGCCTTTGACACCTTTGTGCGAATGATGTGGCCTTGAATATTTGTTAAAAATGAGCCATGATGTTGAAAAGACGCCTGTTAATTAAAAAATCAATTATAATTAAAGAATCTTATCTTGCCTTAATGTCGAAATTGCGTTTCTTTATTCGTCGTGCATGTTTATAGACAACTACAAGTATAATGATCCTGATACAAACATGGGTCTAGTCATAAGTCCAATGGTAAATTTTAAATATAATGATGGGCTCAGTATAAAGCTGCGCGTTCATCCAGATTTCGAAGGGGCTGAATTCAACAAGCCGATAAGCTTCACTTGTGACGGTAGCTGGCGTACCTAAGTTGAATGGCTTTTTGTCTACTTGACCTGTTGTAGTGACCTCGAGCGTAGAACATATAACAATGCAATTAGTGTATGATCTAGAAGCACCCGCACATCAGAATTACACGCTCAAAGTTTGGGGTTTTAATGAATATCTTGTGCCAACTACACTTTTGTCTGATTATGAGTATGTTCATAATTGCATCAAGTTGGACGAGGATGTCGTATTGATACTAATACCGGACTCCATGAAAGACAAGTCCTTTGCTAGGACTGTGAGTACATAATTAGGAATTAGGAAAGTGGTTAGCTTGAGTTATAAAAAAAATAAAATCCATTTTGTTCAGATTTCCTTACCTCTCTCTCAACTTATATAAAAAACTATTGACATCAGAAATAAATCTTAATAGATTATAACAATTCAACAACACACAAGTTAAATTTATCTAAAATTGTTTTTGAATCATATAAAGAAGATTTTTAAATACTATAAATAAACAATTTTTTTTTTCATTCTATAATTCTCTAAGAAGAATGTGTTTTTGAAAGTTTGCACCAAAAGCTGTTTTTGAAACTTGTTTACAACACATAATCGTGACATATAAATATAAATTAGTATTTTTTGAGAACGCATTTAAAAACTGAACCTCAACTTTCCGCTTTCAATATGGCTTCAATTTCAGTTGCAAGATGATTACAATGACAAAGAAGTTACTTTCGAAAAAATCGTGTCCACCGAATTGTCTTCAAATATTACATATGACAGTCTCAAAATTCTGATTGGTAGGTGCTTTTAAATATTATTTAGTTTTTTCATATAAATAAAAAAGGATATTCCCAGAAACTGTGGAAAGTGAAATAGTCAAACTTGAAGAAGCTGCCGCAATATTAGAAAGGAGCAGCAATATTTCTCTGCCTCCACCATTGCAACCATTGAAAGTAATTCAATCAATTAAATGTATTATAAATCTTATGGGGGATTTGAGTACTTTGGACATTATGCAGTCAGTTGAGGTACTGATGGAAACCTGCAAAAATTTCGTCCCTTCTAGTGTAAGTTTTTCCAGTAAATAATATATATGTAATAATAACCAATGTGTTGTCAACTTCTAGAACTCCAGATTTGCGGAAATTGTTACTAATAACTGCAACAAGATAAGACTTGCTGTCCAGAGCCTCATTGAAATGTATTGCCAAGCATTTATGGTCAATTTTGAAGTTAAAGCTTCAACCCACGGAGAACGTACGCTTTAAAGTTACTTAGCACGGCCTTTTTAGTGAACGCAAGTAAAATTTCAGCCATAAGATATGTAAATGACGTTATGGATTCGGTAATTGTCAGGATATGTGCGATCAACCGGCCAAGTGGCAAATGGGAGCACGAATTGTATTATGTATCGGGTCAAGTGTATCATGGTACCCGTAAAATTGGTCGTCCTTTATTGACTCAAGCTTGTCCAAAAATTGAACGAGACAATTTGTGGCCTTCCAGAATAGTTTTTGATAATTGGTAACAAAACTTTTCATCTGGCTGGTTATTCTATTTTTAAATACTAGTGTTCATGTCCAGGGAAATGTGGGAAATCTCTCGGGTTTAGACAAAAGCCCGAAACTAAGTTTGACTTCACTTTACTTACACTGTGGGTCCGGGAAGTACTTTATAGAATTTAATTTAACCGGTACTTTAAAAATTATTTAAAGTAGTGATTTGCAATGGCATTTTCGTAGAAAAACCATATAGCAAAAATCCAAGAAACTACCTACATTTTCCTAGACACGTTTTCTGACATGTTTAAATTGCACTTGATTTAGGTTAGAATTTGAAGATGTTCCCATAAGTAATCTAGCCAGAGAATCTCGACTGGTCTTACAGCTATTTGGTAAAACTTTAGATACTTCCGAAAACGAAGATTCCAAAAATTCCAGTATGCCCATATACAAAGAAGAAGAAATTGGTTGGACAGCCATACAATTCTTTAATTATGGGGGGTAAAGTACCATCTTGGTCATTAAAACGCTATTACTCAAGCTGTTGTTTTAGAGTAATGATTCAGGGAAACCTCTTGTTGTCCATATGGCCCGTGGAGTCTGATCACATTAATGAACATATCTATGGCCCAGCGCCCGCAATAGGGTGTCACCCGATGCCTGACCACCCTATGTTGGGTATAGAGTTAGTTGCACCGCCTAAAGTACACTTCCCCAAAGTCGATTCTCACTTATTAAAAAACGTCATCAAAGGCGATTTTTATGGTTTGGATAATGAAACGCAGCAACTGCTTAGTGACGCATGTGATCAAGATATGCTTTACAAATTTCCTTCCGAAATTAGAGAAATTTTATGGGAGAAACGTCATCACATGTACCATATGCCAAAAGCGCTACCTAAAGTTTTATTGGCGGCTCACAGTTGGGCTTATGTTAATTTAGTGGACCTGCACGGTATGTTGCATGCATGGAAGAGGTTAGATCCTACAGAGGCGCTAGAGTTACTATTACCAGTGTAAGTATTTCTAATTGAAGCAGATGAATTGAATACAGGCACAGGATCAATATTCATTGTGGGCAAGTGTGCGGATCAATCGTCTCATTCAACATAGCCGCTGACAGCATTCACTATCAGTTCATGGGTTCAACCAGTTTCATGTTAGCAAAAAAAAAAAAAAACGAAATCTCAAGCCAATGAAATGAGACAATTAAACCGTCCTTCCAACCTATTCAATTTATCTACTCCCTTATTTGACTTGAAACCTAAGAAAACTTCAATTTTTACATTTAAGGTATCCAGATATTGAAGTGAGGAAGATGGCTGTCAATTGGATAATCACAAATGATGATTTGATTGATTACCTACCTCAGTTAACAGTTGCGCTAAGGTATGAGACATATGAGAACTCTGCGCTTGCGCAGTTTCTTTTGCATAGGGCTCTTAGGTCGCCGCGATTTTCGCATTATTTATTCTGGTTACTCAGTCACAGTCTGCCTGGATCACTTCCGCAGGTAAACGCCAATCGTCGAGTTGTAAAGCAAATTTATGTGAAACCAAATGCTGTTTTTTTGTTTTTTTTTTACAAAGATTGTTTTTTGTTTTACACCTTTTAGAACGGTTATGCCGAAAATAAAGACAATATCGAAAGCATATGTGAAGTAAGGCATCATAGAAGAATGAAATTACTGTTAAGAGCATTGTTGGCTGTGTGTGGAGAGTCTTTAAGGAAATGTTTCATCTCGCAACAGCTACTTGTGAAGGTAACATGCATTACTGTTTACCGAACATGTATTTTGAATAACTATAGAGAAGCATACACTGTCTGAATTGCTTGTTTCAGCAATTAGATGACTCCGCAGATAACGTAAAGAAAGCAAAAGACTCGCAAAAGCTTACACAACTGCACCGCGATTTAGATCAACTTAATGTTTACCTAAATGAAACTCCGACTAGTCTACCCCTTTCCCTCACTTTAAAAGTAAACGGCATCGACGTAAAAAGTTGTGCCTATTTTGCTTCCAACACATTACCGTTGAAAATTAATTTCATAATGGAAGACAGTTCTGTTTATCCCGCCATTTATAAAGTGGGAGATGATCTTCAGCAAGATGTCCTTACTCTGCAAATGATTGAGCTCATGGATAAATTGTGGCTGCAAGAGGGATTAGATTTAAAAATGGTCGCGTTTAATTGCATTCCGACTTCTAAAAGGAAAGGTATTTAACACAATATGATTTTCGTTATATACGATTTTTTGGGTTGTGTAACCGTTTTTAGGTATGATTGAGATGGTAACCAAAGCTGAAACACTAAGGAAAATCCAAACTGAGCATGGGCTGACCGGCTCTTTTAAAGACAAACCTATAGCCGAATGGCTCGCCAAACACAATCCATCAGAATTGGAGTACGGGAGAGCAGTACAAAATTTTACTGGTACCTACCAATTGCATTACTCTTTATTTCATGTTGCTCCTGCTTTCTGTTTTCGCAAAATAGATAATGTTTTTTCTTCATAATTATACAATACCGCTATTATGAAAAGTAAGTGTTGAAGGACACCACAATCTTGCAGGTGACCAAAGGACCAAAGAATATGAACTTTCTAAGATAGTATAACCGTCTCACAATGTCAAAATTTTTAAGTATGTATCTCTTAAATGTGAGAAACTTCTCTTTGAAATTTTTTTTTCGTTTAGAGAATTTTATCTTAAACTTGTAAAGTTATTTTAGTAAATTTGCATATTAACTTATAAAATGCAGAAGTAACAATATTAAGGGCGGAGCTTGAATTGAACCTTTTTCTCTTTTGTAATTCCATACAAGTTGCTATAACTGTGGAAGTTGTTTCGCTTGATTGCAGAGCGTTATGCAACTGAGTATCTGACTTATAGTGCTCGGATTTGGTATTGCTTAATGTTTATTTGGCGCATCAGCAGGGGTCCATTTTTTTTTTTCAATGTTTTCTTAAATAGTAGGATCGCTTTTATACTGTCAGTGTGTTTAGATCCTCCTTTGTTAACGCTTAAAAGTATTTTTTTTTACATGTAAGCGTCTTGTGCTGGATATTGCGTAGTTACCTATGTCATGGGAATATGCGACAGGCACAATGACAACATTATGCTGAAAACTTCGGGCCACCTTTTCCATATCGATTTTGGTAAATTCCTCGGCGACGCTCAAATGTTTGGGAACTTTAAAAGGTTTTGATACTATTCAACCGACTTATTTATTTTATAAACGTTACGTTTTTTTGATTTTCAGGGATCGGGCGCCTTTTGTTTTAACTTCTGACATGGCTTACGTCATTAACGGAGGCGACAGACCCACCGAAAAATTCCACCAGTTTGTCGATCTCTGTTGCCAGGCATTTAACATTATAAGAAATAATCGAAACATATTCTTGTTCCTAATGACGTGTTCCGGGATTTGCAGTGTGACTCCCGAGTCGATTGGTTACATGCACAAAGCGTTGTTGCCAGAATTGTCTAATCCGGAAGCGGCTGCTCATTTTACCAGACTTATCGAAGAATCTTTAAAAACAAAATTCACACAATTTAACTTCTTTTTGCACAATTTGGCACAGAACTTGTCGCAGCTCAAGTTCAGCGCAGAAAACAGTTGCGGGTCATTGTTGTCTTTTGTGCCTAAGACTTACAGGTAACAATATAAAAATATTTTATCTATTCTAGAAAATTTGCGGGTAACTCTATTTTAGTATGGCTATGGATGGTAGGTTGACCCAGGTTGAAGTGGTCGGCTACCGAAAGAGATACGATCCAGACAAGTATTATGTGTATACATTGCGCATTTACAGAGAAAATCAATTGGAACCGATGGAAATACAGCGAACTTACAAGGAATTTTGCGAGTTGCATCAAAAACTGTGCATTTATTTTCCTCTAGCTAAACTTCACAGGTAGAATTTCAAATTATTTTTTCCGTTTCAATAGAAAGTTTTGACTATAAATACTTTACCACAGCAAATATCCAAATTTTCAAAAATAATTGAATTAATGTTACAAATTCTTCACACATTCTAAATTAAACAACAAATAAAAATGCTCGCTGTATATTGTATAGGTAGTTGCAACGTAAGAAAAAATGGGGAGATATTTTGCATTAATTATTTGAAAGTATTGTTATTATTAAGGTAAAAAAATTAAGAGAAACAAAACAGAATTAATGAAATATAATATAATTCGTAATATAAATAAGACTTAAATTTATCGACATGATGAAACATGATCTGACAGCATCAGCACTCCCTCAACTGTGTCAATTCCATACACTAATGTTTATAAACCGGGCAAAATGATAATTATAAATTGAAATTGACATTTTTGAGTAAAACTTTAGCAATCCGCTGCGTTAGCCCTCTCATCTTCATCGTCTGTCACTTCGTGAAGTTCAACTCTTCGCGGCCTTACAACTTCGGGCTCGTCTTCGCCAAAGAAAATATTAGCTGCTTGACTAGTTGTGTATCCGAAGGTGGTCAATTGTTGGTTGTAGTATATATCTGAATGCGACCCCTCTTCCTTGATTTTGGTTTCGGTGCTTGTGCTTTTGTTTGTTATCTGAATATAGGTAGAGTTATTGCCATCTACATTTGATACAGATAAGTAATTGTTTTCTATTCTAGTGTCGGAATTGTTAAATTGTTCGTTAGCTACTGTTACCGACTGGGTGGCGTCGTCAGTGTATTTGCTGGCTTTTAGAATAGATTTTGTGTGTTTTTCATTGCTTCCATTGGTATTGGAATACTCGTCATTGTTGTTTGTAGTCACAATCGCGGTTGTTTTTTTGATATTATTTTTTGCAACCAAGGGCTTCTTTGGTTGGGGCTGGACGTTTGACGTGGGAGGCCGGTTGAGGTTTTCTCTCGTTTGCGAGTTTTGACTCTGTTTGGATGAATCAGGCAAGGCTCTCCTATTGTCGAGTTGTGCTGAATGAAGTTGAGGTTGAGATTTTTTCACTGGCGCGGTGGGCGGAACATCTAAAAATAATAGAATGAATTTATAGCCACCAGTACGCCACAACTTATACAATGTTCTGAACGCGCGTTATTTTTATTTTAAAACTATAAGTGTTGGAAACTGGACCCCCTACATAAACAGTCTGTTCGCCTATATATTTTCAATGAGCTATTTGTGATTTCAAAGTTTAAGAAGACCCTTTACGAAAAAAGTTATGACGGTTGCTTTACTAGCGTTTATTTTTAAAGGGATATTGTATAAAAATCAAAAGTTTGGTTTGAATCACTTAATTTTCAAAGGCCCAACAAGCAGGTAGTTATTTGCAGTTCTGTAAATATCATATTTTTCAATTTAACAGCAAATAAGTGCTGAGACATATGTCCCGTATGTGGAGTTGTATAGTATGGTATTTTTAACGCAGTGTTTGAATATTGTTATATCAGAAAATTGGATTTTGGCAATTATAGCAACGGGAACTATACAAATTTAGAACATTGAAATATATCAGTGACCTACTAGTAATTCATTTTGATGGACGGATCCATAAATCCAATAATTACTTACACTGCACGTTATCAAATTCCGAGTAAACGCGGTATCCAAGGCATACAACTTCGTTTTTATCTATTTTCTTGGCGTTGCTATCCTTACTAAATTTGGCCCTGAAACCTCCAAACAGGCCCATGTCTAAAGCTCGCAAACGTGAACTGCGAATATTTGTTATTCTACATTGTAATCTGCCCCTGATAGTGCCGGTAATCACTTGACGGCCTTATCTTTGTTATCTCGCATTTTCCATTACTCATTAGCATATTTGCTTTGTCGGTGGCCTATGATAATCTATTATTTAATTTGTATTGATTGTTAATTGTTTTGCACATTTTAATTACCGACTTCTATATAAGAAGCGCGAATTTCTTCTTTGTAGGAGAGCAAAAGAAGATATATACCAAACAGCATTAAAAATCTCGCGCAATGTTTTTATCAGTAAGTGTGGATTATGCAGACAGTATTCTTACAATTTTATTAGTAATCCTTAAATGGATTACCACAGATTGATCAATATGTCTAATGGAGGGATTATTTTCTTTAAAAAATATCACTTAAAAGACAGTGAGAAGAAAAATTCTAGTAATTTTATTTGTTACTTTTATTTTATATGATTATTGCGAAAAACCACAAATCACCAAACTGCTTAAAAACTTGGCGGCACCTACAAGTTGTTGAACAAGGGGTTTTGTTAGTCTAAATAGCTGAATTAACACATCTCTTTCAAAGTTAATCTCCTCCAGAGCCTCCTCAACATCGGCAATGATAATAACATGTTAGTATGTGAGTTGGTTAAGGACTTCTGTTATTATAACGATTTTTGGCTAGTAGTAAAAATATCGCGAATAAACCCATTCTCAGTTTCCTTATTCCATTTATGACCAATAGAATAGATTTTCGGAGTAAAAATTTCACGGTTTTTGATACAGTTTTTTTCAAGAATACTGCATTTTAACACTTTTGCCCATTTGCCCACAAAATTTCTATTTCCTAAAATTCAAGAATAGATAGGAGTGACCGAACTATCAAAAATCGGGAAAATATAACTTTGCGCACAGATTAAGAACACTTCTGTTCTATGTTTTTTAAAATGCATGGTTGGTGGAAGACGCCTAATAAGTTTCTTTTTTAAAGAATTAAGCCGAACTTTTTAAAAATCGGTTATCTTGAAAAATATACTTACTCTTAAAAATTAAAGCAAACAATTTGATCGTTCTCGAATAGCCGTAAAGCGTTCTTTCTTCAAAATGTGTGTAAAGGTAACGCAATGTGTTTTCAGCTTGTCGACGGGTCTCCACATGGGCAGGCAAAATATAAAACAGGTGGCACAAAAGCGCTTCCACGAGATTAGTTTATTTATAAAATCCCTGTTTCTTTGTGCAACAGAGATTGCCCATTCGGACCTTGTCTACACTTTTTTCCACCCCTTATTAAGGGACCAGCAAGAGGACGAGTATACCCAACAACTCGAAGGTAACTTTCGTCCACTTTAGATTAACTTTTTAAACTTTTTTGAATTGTGTTGCAGATAAAAAAGCTAGCGGGTCCGAGTCCGGAAGGCTTAAAGGTCAATTAAAATTGTCGTTACAGTATAGCAAGGGTGTGTTTTCTGTTATGGTACACCACGCTCGCGGTTTGCCCAGATTGAACGGGCAGGAACCGTCAACCTATGTTAAGGTCTATTTACAACCAGACATTCAAAAATCTACCAAGAGAAAGACAAAAGTTGTCAAAAAGAACTGCCATCCTTGCTTTATGGAAATGGTAAGTAAATGGTTTTATTATTATTTATTATTATCATTATTCTCGAGGGAATTTGTATTTCTAGCTGGAGTATCGAATGGCGTTGGATATCGTTAAATCTAGGACGATAAAGGCGACGGTGTGGAACTATGATCCGCTTCAAGAAAATGAGTTTATGGGAGGAGTAGAGCTTGAACTGGCATCTTTGGACTTAACCACAGAGATTACGGAATGGTATCCGTTAGTCAATTTGAGTCGATAGTACGCGTATTATTCGTTAATCGACGTAGACGTCAATTGCACAAAGATATGCATATATTTTCTGCATAAGTATAGATTTTCGTGGCAACCGTTAGCCAAAGCTAAATTTTTACATTCCCCTGTCACTAGCAGAACAATTCATAAAATTGCATTGTCACCAAAAAAAAAAATTCACCCCAGAAAATCGAAACTAATTTTTCTTTCACTGAGTATGAAATTTAATAAATTATGTTTGAATTCGCAATTCTCCAAAAAAAAAAAAAACGTAATTTTGACATATGACAACAAAAGCACATAAACAACTGCTAGAGTATCCTACCATGTTAATTCTGCAGCAGGTTAAGGAATTATGGTAATTTACTTGTTTGTTTTTTTTATGTGTGGTCGATATTTTTGTTTACTTTTTGGGTTTGTGGAAGTTGAATTTTGATGTCGCAAGTTGTGAGGTTACGTGCTAACAGTATATAAACTCAATTCCCAAATAAACCTATTGTTTTGTTAAATTGATTTCTGGGGTAATCTTAATGTGGCCAGTGAACAGATTAAGCTAAGATACCCGACTGAATGGAATGAGTGGTGCTGTAGCGTTTTACCAAGCCGGAATAACGTAGATAACTTTGATGCATTTATATCTGGTTGTTGTATTTTTAGAATGGTTTTTCAGTGTATTCACTGATCTTTTTTAATATATGTTAGTAAATTATCGTAAAGCTGAAGGTGTAATTAAACGAATTATTAGTACAAAATTGAAGTTGAAGTTTGAAACCCTCTGACTCACAACCCTATCAAATTAAAGGTAGTCTGAAAACATTAGATTTAGAATATACTAATTACCAGAGATATACTAGTTACAAATTTAGCTCCCCTTGTAAAACTATATATAAAGCAGACTTAGAATGTAACAAATTAGTTTTAAAATGGCAGTATTTGAAGGTGTTTTTGCAAAGGAAGATTCCGAAAATTTGCCGTAGGATGAGTAGAACATATTTTATTCAGAATAAACAGTGCAGTATTGAAAGGTGTTCAAACGTAAGGGTAAGATTTTGCGATCATGTCTGCAAATCGGTTGTATTTTTACCATCTTCATCTTAATGCAGAATTTGAAGGTTTGCAAAGGTTGATTTTTCATTAGCAAAGAGATGAACTGATTGTTCATAATATCTGAGTAGCACTACTGACCCAAAATCGGAATTTTATAGAGCAGTAAACCCGGCAAGATTTAATAATTTGTTTACAAAATAAATAAAACAAGGGTCTGTGATTTAATAATCTTTAATTATACGTTTATCGTGTTGCACAAGATTAAACACATATAGTACCCAGAGTGCGATAAGCAAGAGATATCTCGTTACTTAAACTAAAAACTTAAATGGAAAAATTTCGGGAACTTGGAAGTCAAAAGCTTTGTTCACCATCGATATTTCCTTATAAAACCCCTTCATAAATGGAGTTATTTCCACACTATACAGGTAATAAATAAAATCCACACAATTGTATGAAAACAAATAACAAATTATATAATAACATTTTGGACAATTCTAAGTTTCGCTTTGGAAAGTTTTAAGGATTATTGGTAGTTACTTAAAATAATTGTATTCCCAAAGAGTAAGACCAAGTCCAACTTTATTTAAATATTAAAACCACTTTTAGGCACATTATGGTCTTAGTTATCTATATTATTTGTTTAATTTTAATACACTTTAACAAATTTATAACACCTTCGCAATTTAATTTAAATCAAAATGGCGACAAAATCATAAAAATAAAGTAGTCTAGGTAATTGGTCCGTTTATGACGTGTCATTTGTCAAACAACGTAACCTTCACCATCACTATTGACTTATTGACTCCTCAATAATTTGATTGGCGCAATAGTATCGTAAATACTAAATCACTCTAAAGCGACCTCTTTGTAAATTTAAACTTTGAATACATTGCAACGTTAATATGTTATAATCCTATAACGTAATAATATAACATAATTTTCAATAAAATCTTGTTACTAGCAACAATATTTAAATTTATTCAAATATGTAAATATCAGTCTGGGAGCCCTTAGTGTTATTGGACAATAAATTTTTGTCTTTAGTAAAATATTTGTATAAAAACTATATTTTTTATCACTTTAATAAATTTTTTATAAAATATTTAATGATTAAGTACAATAACTTTATTTCAAAATTCATATTACTATGTACATGATTCTTACTGTATTGAACGCAAATATTTTTACACCTTAATTTATAAATTAATTTTCAAATATTAATACCATTGTTGAAAATGTGTTTTCTTGACGGGTCCCTCAAATGAGAAAACTTCCAGAGTTCCAAGTTATGTCTGTTGCCAAACCTTCACTTTTTCTGAATTCTTTCAATCTTGTCTTTAGCAATTGGTCCCTTTTTAGTGTTAAAATATAACAACAAGAAGTATTCTTGCCCTGCGTGAAACTTCATTTTCTGCATGAACTTATGTTTGAGACTTTAAAGTTACTACTTAATTTATTATGAAAACTCAACATCAGATGAAGTATTTTTAATGCTTGCCTTTAATGTTGTGGCGTTTGTGAAGTAATCTCCAGGATGTTACAAATTATTAAACAGTCACGCCATATATACTTTGAAGGTGAGAATTTGATTTTTTTTTAAATAATTATAGAATTTACAGAAGGAATAAGATTAGGATATCACATTTTCAGATGGTTTAACATTCAGAAACATATTGAGTTAAGCATTTGGGAACCCCAATTTCGGTATAACTCATTCCAAGTTGAAAAACACTTATTAGTTAATATAACAATAATATGCCTTCACAAATTCCTAATGAAACACATCACACACTTGCTTTATTTTAGTGGAATGTGCATCCATCAAAATTCATACTCTTAACGCTTTATGTGGAAGACATCTGTTGGAACTGAAAATACTTAAATGTATACTATTTGGTTAATTGCCTAAGTATTTCAGGATGCGTCCTGGCAACTATCGCCTGCAATTTTTGCAGCTGACCCATCAGGTTGTTGTTTGAGTCTTCAAGTGCCTCAATTTTCAACCTATATTCACTATTTTGATTCGCCATGGTTTCAACTTTTCTTTCAAGCTGATCCATGTATTCTTTCTTTTTTCTACGGCTCTCCTGGGCCGATATCTATAATATTTAAAACATACATATAATTTTATATAATGATGTTGTTAACATTCTTACCTTATTTTTTATTTTCCGTCTGACTTTCTTCAGAGACTTCTCCTCGGCTTTCGTCAAAGGTAAGCGGGTAGGAACTGGGTAACCCTCTGCGATAAGTGTCCTCTTCTCCTCTTCGGTAAGATTTAGAGTTCCAATGGACCCTTTCTACAAAAAAAATTGGAGTATTAAAATTTTGTTTGTTTATAGTATAAACTTCAAGCTTACCGGCTGACTACTAATCAAAGGCGTGTGAATAGGTTGTCGTGTAGAGGTGGCGTGGTTTAAGATGAGTCTGTTTGAAGATTTTTTTGATGCCGGCGATGGTGGTTGCGAAATAGTTGCGTTATCTTCGGAATCATCGCTACTGCTGCACGATGGCGGCGTTGGAGGTAAATGAAATGCATTTCCATTTTCTAGAATTTTAAAAACAAAATTGATCCAATTCAGATGGAATATAAGTTTTGGGGTAGAAAGTTGTGTTTCTTATTTAATAATGAGAACAAGAGTATATTGAAAAACAGGGTAAGTGCTTTTGTTATTGGTCATTAAAAAAAAAAGTGTGCATTACATAATGACCTACCTATTTTTATGCTATACTTTGGAATGTGTATCCTTTGGGGAATGACGCTGTGAGGGGATGTGAGCAATAAGTTAGACGTTGCCGCATTTAATAAAGCCTGAGGTAAGGTTGCCTGGAAAAAACAAATGCTGTTGTTGTGCACGTTGTCCGTTAGGTAGAGAAATTACCATATTAACATCTATGACATCGTTAGTTCCGATAAAATGTCCTTGTGGCGAAGACGGGCAAGAGGACTCCACACTTTCAGTTTCACTCATTTCTTCTTTAAAGTCTGCTTCTTCTTTTATATCCAGTGTATCGTGCGTATCTGTTAGTCGCGTGCAAGCCGTGTTCATTTTAATCGCTGGATAATACTCTTCTTCCATGTCTTAAGAGAAACAGATGAATAGTTAACACTTAACTTTCTTTACGATTACATTACCACTACATTTAACTGGCTGGCACAATCCCTTAATGCTAGTGCTAGTGCTGAAGAATATCTATAAATTTTTACTGTATTTAGGTACTTAGGTAGAAAAAAAATGACTTCCTTATTGGGTTTTCTATGTAAATTTTTTTTACTAAAATATTGATATAATTACTGTACCTCGCAAACTTTTTCTAACAATATGATATATAAGAACTGACGTTTCTTTTTGGGTTAATATTGTAGAATTGTAAAGAAAAATGTTACTCAAAAAGGTTTGGTTTTTATTAGATGATTTTTAGAATTTTGAGAATCCTACGTAACATTTAAAATACGTGTTTGTGTAAAGGTTATTTATTCGGAATGTTTTCGTTGCGTATGCTTTCGAAATATTGCCAATTAAGCACGTTACGATTGCCAATAGGAACACCATCAGCTTTGACATCAATTAATCGACATGATATAATTGTCATTATAATTTTCAAATAAAAACATTTTTTAATTTTTTACTTGGGTACAGCATTATTTGCAAGATGTTTTAATGGTAATATGTCAAAAACTATAAAATACGTAAATTGTCACTTCATTAAAGTTACTATAATTTTCAATAAGATAAATTAAACACAATTCTAAACAAAAGCTAGTGGTTAGCTATGAAATGTCAAAGTATTATTTGCAATTCTTACTTAGATCAAACTGGTAATCATTGATTATGTGAAAGCAACCATAGTGAAACGTAAAACTTTTAGTGTAAAAATAGTAACTTTGGGCGCGAGGATATTTTATTTAATTATATTTTTTTAGAAACATTAATAAATATTAAAATTGTACGAAAATATCTGTTAAGAGTTCAATAAGGATCTAAAACGAGGCAAGAACGTTGCCGTTGCGTTTCCTTCCAAAAAGAAGCAACATCTTTGATATTTTAATTGGAAAGTGTATTTTACCTGTGTCCGATTAATTTTTGGAGAAATTAATAATTATTTAACAAATTATACGCCTTCAGTCAGCCAATTTATGGAGACAGGACAGTATTTTATATTTTTTAATATAAAGAACACCATCCGCGGGTTTCAGGCAGTCAAAATGTCAACAAAACTTAAAAACATAAGTTGCTTGGATTCACTTATATCTTTAAAATATTACGTTGTTAGATATAGACGATTTCATCGCATTTAGCATTACAATAAAAGTATAAAGTTATCTGTTTCAAAAAGATGTTAAAGTCCTCGGAAAATTATAGACATACCTATTTACGTTGTACATATACAGGGTGTTCTATTTAAGGTAAATGTGAATAAAAACATTCTGCACTTATTATCTTTAAGTTGTTTTTTATATTTTTACACGTGCTAAAACAAGGTGTCACTTCTTGCGCATGGGGCGGTATAATCATGTGTAGCGTGGTTGTTGGCTAATTCTGTTTAGTATTGTTACCGTCAACATGCTGGCGGGAATGGGGCGAATCGGGTGTAGAATCTCCGTCCGAAGTGAGGCTGTAACTGTGTTCCGTCTTTATCGGTCTAGATCCCAGAGCAGCGTCTGTCATTAACCTGTCGTGAAGTATTACGGCGGGTATGTCTTTCGTGTCCAAATTATAGGCCCATTCGATGGTGCCATCCCCCGAATGAAGTCGCAAAACGTCGTTCATATTCTGAAAAAATTAATAAAACAAAATAACAGCGGGGAAATCGAAACAAGTGAACAAAACTTTTCCCAAAAGTATACATATCTGTAAAGCTTAAGATATTCTATTCGCTACGGCTACGTTTTTGCAGAGGGTTTCCAAATGGTATAAGTTTCTTTATAGAGGGTTGTAAACCAGACACTGATTTTTTTTTCGCAAATTTCACACAAGATTTTTAATATAATTAAAAAAATATCATGTCATTTTTGACCGAAAACTTTCTTTTTAATTATCAAAAGTTTTATAGGCCACGTGGCGAGTCAATTTTAATGCCATAAATAAGTCAAAAAACAAATTTAGGCGCTAGTCAAGAATAATTTTTGTTAGTTAAGTTTAAAAAACGACTTTATTGTAAATTGTTAACATTATAGCGTTTCGGTGGAAAACAGTTTTGGTATGTACAATGTTTACAAAAGTTTGGATAGAAATTGAATTGTATTTCACTGGTTTCACGTATGGCACAGATACTTAAAGTTGACGCAATATACCAACGCATTTCAAACACAGGGAAGCATTGATTCAAGTCATATTTCATACCAAATTATTTAATTTAAATGAATGCGATAATCGTCATTACTGACATTTCCGCGTTTTCTGAGAGGCGCCAATATTTTAAAAAATAAATGGGATTAATCACAATTTTCCATGCAGTTGATGTTACAATTTTCGTCAATGTGGCCGTTTCTACTAAAGAAGCTTGCTTGCTGGCACCACGTTCAATGAGAGACAAATAAACATTGTTTATAACTTCCTTAGTCTCAATAGAATAGTGTTTTCTACATTTGGGAGGGAGCATCTCCTCAGATATTTTGCATAATTCGCACACGATTCAACACACGCTGTATTACACACGAAATAAGAATGACTACTAATAAACTTAAACTAAACTAAGAATATTAAACACAGGGACAGACCACAACTGGTGCTGCTGTAAGATTAACTTACGTCTACTTGTAACCCTCAATAAATAGATTCGCAATTTCACAATGTTCCAGAACCGTACTTCGGTACTTCGTGCATACAAATGCTGAAAGCTGACGTTTGGAGTTTCATCGGTGGGATTCCTCGATTATTATTAGTCCATGAAGTTAAAAATCAATTCTTAATTTTCAATCCTATTCCTAAAATACCACAGTCCCCACAGCACAGTTCTTGTCGGCTAACATCTTTAATACGGCCCTGGCCTGTGGTACACTTGCTGCAAAGAATGGTCCCTTCCGCTTTACAACACGCAGGTCTTAAACTCATTCCGAAGTCAAAACCATAAAAGGTTGTAAAAACGGTATATATTTTGGAGAACTTTAACTACCGACATCTGTCTTTAGTGGGCACATCAAAACCAAAAGTTACCAACACTAACCAAAAAAGTTTGTGAATAAAAATTTTAAATAACCTACATTTACATGTCTACGGGAGCCAGGTTCACCGGCAGCGCAGAAACTTCTTGTTTTATGTCTATTATTGTCTTCGATTGTCAACGGTACTATTGGGGTTGTGGAATTGACCGGCCAAATTTTTTTCTGTCAATTGACCAACATAATTTATATAATAAATACACCAAGACATTTATATTTATTTATTTATATTGTGCGTTACGTCGCCGTCGCGTCGTTCTGGGAACCAAATGGAGTAGATATTATTTTTGGGATTCATCGAATCGCTAAGTATCGTACCCGGATATTCCTTGATAGGTAAATCCTATAATAATTTAATATAAAATACATATTATGATAATAGATAACATGCTACAATTGCAAGATTTTTTGACTAGTCAATTAACCAGTCCCAACACTAGGTGCTATACATATTGCATATTCAATTAATGATATCACCCATTGTTTGGACGAGTTGCAGATTAAAACATTTCTTGTCATAGGTACATTTAAAATATCTTAGGTTTTCGGTTCTGTTCAATGGCCGTTTGAAAACTTTTGGGTTGACCTGTAAAATTTGACACAAAGCTTCCGAAAAAAAAATGTAAAGGAAGTATTTTTATAGAAACGCGTCAAACAACTATTTACTTACGGCTGTTTTTACTTGAGTTTTTTATTTCTGACGAAATGGCGGAAAATTACTGTTTACTTACGACAATACTCTTATCTATATCTACCTTGGTGAAATCAACGTGCTGGTTTTTAGTGACACAATAATTTAATAACTGCAGATATAAACGACTTGTAAATGGCACAAAGTTCAAAATAAGTAAAAAATTCACAGCGAAACGCTGTGGTACTGAAAAGTTAATGACCCTGTGCATTCGTTACGGTCTTATGATTTCGGAATCCTTCACCTTGTAAATGGTTCTATGTATATATTCCAATGTTGCTTTAGCGACAAGAGGAAACAGAACATGGTCAAGCGCTACCACTACGATGGACGTCTAGACGAGTCGTTTTCTACTCAAATTGTAATAAGCAATCAGTACATCGCTCCAATGAAAATTTACCACACTGTGCAAAAAGTACATTGGTAGCATTGAAGCATACTGAACAAGTATTCCGATTTAAACTTGCAGGTACCGTGAGAATTGCGGTAAACGCTCTGTTTTTAATGTTAATTGGTCGCGTTCACTGAGGGCAAGAAACTGCTATAAATTAATTAAGTGAGGGATTCGTTAAATAACTTTCAAACTAGGTGAACGTATCGAATAGGTGGCAAAAATCATATAAAACGTGATATGTGTTGTAGTCGAAAAAGGACATTTCCAAGTCACATTTCAAATACCCAATAACGTGAGGCGTTGAAATTCCCAATAATTACGCGGCGTTAATTGTCAAAAAACTTTTATTATCACTTTCAGTATGACTTTGATTCTATTCAGTGCTAATTTTTTTGCTGAATAATGCATCTATTATATAATTCGAATTTAGTTAATTAACGTTTAACGAGATCTGGGCATACTGATGATACATTTATACATGATACATTTAAAGTAAAGCCTGTCTAATTAACGAACGGCCATGTTAGTCATTAAACGGGGGTAAGTAGCTATATGTGGAACGAGAAAAAAATCTAGTTGATATAGTTCTTGACTTTAATGCACTTTTTACTAATACAGTGGTACAATAAAATATTCTATTTGAGTTTTACCATATTATTATTAGATATATAGAAGCCATGCCTGTGCTGATAGTATAGGAGCTCATGAAGAAACTATGTAAAAAAAAATTGACAACACATACCCATGCGCAAGATTTAAAATTTCGTTTTCAACCAATGACCTTGCGGTATTTGTCAACAAACATGGCCACTGACAGATCGCCAATAAGTTTGGACGTGGCATTTTTGCGGCAGTATTTTGTCAAAATATGCTTAGATTTCATTAGATGCTCTAGGAAAACCAGTTAAGTGTGTGGAAATCGCTGTTCAGAAAGAAAATGGGGCAAATGGTAGGTTAGTGCATCAATTTTTGCGGTAGTAGGGCCACTATTTTATCTAATAGCTATATGAGATTAACTAAACATTGCTCATTCATGATTTTCTTCACAAACTTGCGCTTGACAAACTTAAATTAATTTGGGGTCAAAATCTGGTCTTGCGCCGCTCTATCGCATTATAGTTCCTTCGAATTGTTCCGCGAAATTCGATGGGATTATTATGGAATTCAGAGTTCCTCTGGAATTAGTTAGAATTCTGCTAGAATAAAGTTTGTTACCAATTTGTTCGTGGTTTCAACTTCAGCTATACCTACGTGCTTGTTTGTGGTCAGTTTCTTAAATCTGGCTATTTTGTTTTTGTAAATATATATTAAATATAAAACATTCGAAACGGCGCGAACTCTTGGTTAAAATTAAATATATGTATTAAGTCAGATAAGAATTTCTATGATTGCTTTTAAACAAAAAGCCTTTTTTGAGGCGGATTAAGTACGTTTCACGCATGCAAATGCGATTAGCATTTTGATAATAACAAGTAAACCTTGGCAGAATCTAATATATCCGTTTGCAGTATTAGTATTTCTTTAGAACTATTGATGATTTGCTACTCCATTGTTTATTTCGATTTGTTTATTATATTCGGTAAACCACTAAATTTACATAATTACATTGAAACAAAAAAATATCTTTCGAACATATTCGACAACCTCAAAAGTATTATTTTTTCAAAACCCCAACCATTTTCTCATTATTGCTATCACCCGCAGGACATACGATTCAAAACATATTAAAAACGTAACAAAAAACGAATTAAAACGACAACATTTCCATTTATCCTGTTTAAGCCAATATGAAGAGACTTGCCACGAAGCTTATAACTGCATGACATTTTGCTTGATGTGAAAGGCAAATATTTCTTCTTTCATTTACTTGCTTTAACCTTGAACCAAGCCAACCGCTACTTCGATCTATTGGTAGACGAAGCGCAAAATAGTTTTGCCAAACTTCAGGTTTAATAACCTTGCTAGCTACCCGGGCAAAAACGGATTTAATAAAGTGCAGCCTTTATACTGATTTACCGATGAGTTCAAAGTCCTTGCAAAGCCAGCAAAAATTATTGGTCATTAAAAAAAATTATCTTCACTGCAGCACACAATAATCTGTGAGATTGAGAGTTGAGTTTTACATAATTTTTGAAATATGTATTTTTTAAGTAAAGTATCTCTATCTTAGGAACAAAACTTCTCGTTATACAAAATAAAATTTTTTTTTTCAAAAATAATAACGCTCACATGTATGAGTAAATTTGGGTATAATTTTTTCTTCGAAAACTTCATGCTCAATCTAAAATTATAGAATAATATTTTGTGGAAATCTACAGATAGATGATCGTCTACGGTGCATATATGTTTCATCACTACAAAATCCTGGTAGCTCCGTTTGTCAGAGCTTTTCAAGAAAATTCGTGAAATCCCCTTTAGTTTTTAAAAAGCTATTGAGGTGAATTAAGCTGCGAAAAACTATTTTAATTCAAAAATTACAACTTTTTCTTGTAATTGGTTTTTGGCGGAGGGTGTACTAAAATATCTT